TGTGTGTACATTTTTGTCCTGCCATTCCTCCAAGGCAATGCCAGGGAGGTATACATAGTCTTCCCTTCTTCCATCACAACAGCCCTGTGAGGTAGACTGGGCCGAGAGAGAGTGACTGGCCCAAGGTCACCCAGTGAGCTTTATGGCAGAGGGGGGATTTGAATTTGGGTCTCCAGGACCAAACAGTCTAATTCGACAGTCTAAACACTACATCACACCAGCTCACCTTAACATATGGTGCAGTAAGAACCCTTCATTCTGTCTGTGGCTGTTTGATATGGGAAGTGAATGATAAAAATTTATGTTCTTTTAAAATGCTAAAAAGTTATTTGATTAATGGCAACCAGAGTCCAGGTGACTGGTGTACTTTTGGAGGTAATTGTTGTTGTTCAGTCGCACAGTCGAGTCCGACTCTTCGCGACCCCATGGACAATCTCCCGCCAGGCTCTCCTATCTTCCGCCGTCCTCCGAAGTTGACTCAATTTCATGTTCGTTGCATCGATGACACTGTCTAACCATCTCATCCTTTGCCGTCCCCGTCTATAATAGCTACTGCTAAAAGAGGTCATTTGAAATGTAGTATCACTTGAGCTATGAAAACGAGAATTTTGAAGCGATCACTGTGGCTATATTCTGAAGCTTAGATAAAATGTATTGATGGTTTAACTGCAGCTGCTGGCTGAAACAAAATTATCTGGCTCCTTTAAAGACACACTTTGTGTAAACATGTTTAGCCCACTGAAAGTACATTCTGCCTATTCAGAAAGATAAACAGAATGGGAAATGTCATCTCTATGGGGATTTTCTCAGCTTGTTCTGTGTGTAAAGAGGCATTCAGGTAGTAATTAATTTGGATATATATTTACAGAGGTAAATAATGTAGCTTTATAGTTGTGGTTCTTATCATTTGTGGTTCTGTTTGCTGTCTCAGAGAGGTTAATTCTCTTCCTTGTAACTGGAAACAGAAAGAATCCTCAGTGGACTCCGGTGTCTCCTGCTCCCAGTTCCTAAAGCTTGGAGGAATTTTAAAAGCTTGTCTTTCCTACATTTAGTAAGCCCTTTCCTCTTTACATTGTGTTTTGAAGAGTGTCCTTCCACTTACCGCAAAGGATCACCTAACAATTGATTTTGCCTAGCACATAATTGAAAATGTGCATTTTCATGTGCCAAGCTAGACATGATGGTGTGTGGGGTGGTGGTGATCCACATGTGCCCAACACATTTAAAGGGTGGGTGGATTTGGGATTGGGTTTGTTTGTTTTTAACAAAAGCAGGGCATGAGACTAAGGGGCGCCTCTTCTCCCCTTCTTGTGGTACTTTGCTACATTCTGTCACTTTAAGGACTTTTAGATTTTAGCTAAGCTGTATGGAAGGCTGAAAGCACCAAAGTACAGCAAGTTAAGCAGAGGAAACAGCAGCGTTTAGCTCCCCTTGCTTGCATGTTATTCTCACAATACAAGAACTCATGGGCACTCAATGAAATTGCTGAGCAGTCAGGTTAGAACGGATAAAAGGAAGTACTTCTTCACCCAAAGAGTGATTAACGGATGGAATTCACTGCCCCAGGAGGTGGTGGCAGCTACAAGCACGGACAGCTTCAAGCGGGAATTAGATAAGCATATGGAGCAGAAGTTCATCAGTGGCTATTAGCCACAAAAGGTATAGATAGGGGCTCTCAAGTGGGGCAAGTGATGCACTGTATTCTTGGTGCTTGGGGGGGGGTCAACCGTAGAAGGGCTTCTAGTGTCCTGGCCCCACTGCTGGACCTCCTGATGGCACCTGGCATTTTTGGCCACTGTGTGACACAGAGTTTTGGACTGGATGGGCCATTGGCCTGATCCAACATTGGCTTCTCGTGTGTGTGTGTGTGTGTGTGTGTGTGTGTGTGTGTGTGTGTGTGAAGGTAAGTGGAAGGTAAGTCAACATTGGTCAGCATTTGGATGGGATAATTTCCGGGGGGGGAGGGGTTGCCATTAAGTCGCAGTTGACTTATTCTGACCCCGCAGGGTTTTCAAGGCCAGAGACATTCAGGGTTGGTTTGCCATCGCCTTCCTCTGCAGAGCAACCCTGGTACTCCTTGGTAGCATCCCATCCAAATACTGACCAATGTTGACCCTGCTTAGCTTCTGAGATCTGACAAGGTCAGGCTAGCTTGGGTTATCCAGGTCATGGCTTTTATTTATATCAATCAACAATTATACAAGTGGATACATTCCACCTATTGGTACAAATAAACAGATTGGGAAATGCCATCTCCGTGTGGGGTTAGTTTGATCTGATAATTGCACATGAATATCACTCCAGTGTTTCTGTGTTGAAGTACACATTGTTTATAGTAGCAAATGTTAAGGGGGGGGAAGTCTGCCTTTCTGCTAAGGTCTTTTTATTAGTCCTCCTTGGGTATATGGAGCAGCAGGGAATGAATGCAAGCTTTAGTTATGCACATACATATGGAACAGCTATGTGGGAACACCTGATAACCTTAGGTAGCTGTGTGCATGTGTGTGGTAACAGTGGTGCCATCCATTCCTGCTCTGGCTAAAATGAGATTGAGCACATGACTGTGACCTCTACTGAGCCTGACCATTTCTCTGGCAGAGTCAGCATGGTCTACCATGACTGGCATCAGCTCCCCAAGATCTCTGGCACAGATCTTTCACATCACCTACTACCTGATCATTTAACTGGTGGAGGTATTGGTGACTGAACCTGGGGCTTCCTGCATGCAAACCACTGAGCCATGGCCCCACCTCCAAGCTTGTCCCAGAACATCGAGTACAAACAAGCATGTGCCGGCTCTGAGTGTGTTTGCTTTTTAAATTTCAGAGCTGCTTCCTGAAGCCACAGCATTTTTAACTAACAGAATTCTAGGTTCTTGACACATGCAAATAAAATCAGTGTCCTGGTTTTTGTATCCTTCATGAGCAGTTGGATGGGAGCCATTTTCATGCACTGAGTCACATGGGGCTCAAGGCTATGTGTCATTCAGGCCACTGTGTGGGTTGGGGGAATTGCTTCGATCTTTCCCACTGTCTGACTTGTAGAGCATCCCACGTCGGAAATCCAAGTCATCATTCAGACAGTCTCCACTGATGTCGGGATCGAGGCACACGCTTGACTTGCAGGGAAGCCATGGCTTGTATTAAACTAATGGTTTTACAGCTGCCAGCTATGTGCACATATTTTTTACTCACTTTCAAATGGCTGGCTTATAAAAAGCCACTCACCTTGTTGCCTGTGGCAATGAGAATTATTCCCAGACCACCAGGCTGGGAAGTTGTTAAGAAAGCTGGTTCTCTTCCCCCATCTCTTTCTCCCTGTGTGCTCAGGTGGGCTAGTAATCTTAGTGGAGTGATCGGTAAGATTGTTTGTAGGTGTAAATGCTAGTGGGAGCCCTAACGTCAACGCCTTTCTCCCTGTTGGAAGGCTCTTTCCTGAAACGGCTGCCTCACATGACATCTTTTTAAAATCAAAAATGAGACCGCAGCACCTTCACAGCGGAAAATGCATTAGACTGTTGGAAACGAGTTCTGCTTCCACTTGCGGCTTTGCCTCTCTGAAAGCACGATCTTTGCTTCTCCCAGGCCCCTATGAAGCTCTTGACAGCTAAGTTGCTTATAAGTGGGATAATATAGTAGACTTAACAGTGTGCTTACAGTGGAGTATAATGCTCCTGCCAAGAAAGAATTAACATGTTATCTCCAGGAACACACGTTGAAGCCTGCAATCCCCCCCTTTTTAAAAACACATAGTGGTGTTCTCTGCAGCAAGAATGGGCCCAGGTTTGTAAAATCACTTTGGTGAACTTGAGAAGCTTGTTGCTATTCCACGTTTAAGCCTCATCTCAGGTTGCCGTTGCTCGTTAAGGTCCTGTGATGAAGGCATTCCTAGACGAATGCAGTCCATCTTCACTAAGCTAGAAGCAGAGGTCATTTCGGGGGGATCACGGGGGGTCGCAGTTCCCCCGGGTGAGGTACGGGGGCGGGGCACATGACGAAGCCCCGCCCCCTGCTTCCGGCCGCCCCGCTTCCGGCCCTCCTTCGGCCAGGAGGAGGCAGGAGAAGAGGGAGGGTAAGTTGATCAAGAGAGAGATCTTGGAGTTGTAGTAGATAACTCACTGAAAATGTCGAGACAGTGTGTGACTGCAATAAAGAAGGCCAATGCTATGCTGGGGATTATTAGGAAGGGTATTGTAAACAGATCAGCCAATATCATAATGCCGCTATATAAATCAATGGTGCGACCTCATCTGGAATACTGTGTGCAATTCTGGTCACCACACCTTAAAAAGGATATTATAGCTTTGGAAAAAGTGCAGAAAAGAGCAACTCAAATGATAAAAGGGTTGGAAGACTTTCCCTATGAGGAAAGGTTAAGGCGCTTAGGGCTCTTTAGCTTGGAGAAACAACGACTGAGGGGTGACATGATTGAGGTTTATAAGATTATGCATGGGAAAGAGCAGGTAGAGAAAGAGGTACTTTTCTCCCTTTCTCACAATACAAGAACTCGTGGGCACTCCATGAAATTGCTGAGCGGTCGGGTTAGAACGGATAAAAGGAAGTACTTCTTCACCCAAAGAGTGATTAACACTTGGAATTCACTGCCACAGGAAGTGGTGGCAGCTACAAGCATGGACGGCTTCAAAAGGGAATTAGATAAGCATATGGAGCAGGGATCCATCAGTGGCTATTAGCCACTAGGTATAGATAGGGACTCTGGGGCAAGTGATGCTCTGTCTTCTTGGTGCTTGGGGGGGTCAACAGTGGGAGGGCTTCTAATGTCCTGTCCCCACTGGTGGACCTCCTGATGGCACTGGTATTTCTGGCCACTGTGGGATACAGAGTGTTGGACTGGATGGGCCTTTGGCCTGATCCAACATTGGCATCTCTTATGTTCTTATGTTCTTATTCTGTGCCATGTGTTTTCCACTGTTGCCGTTAGATTTGTGACGGCCATCTCCTTTCACCTCTTTCTGCTTCTCTCCTTTCTGCCCTTTGCAGGCTCTAATTCTTCACCAGCTCGGAAGGTACAGCTTGGCTGAGAAGATCCTGAGAGATGCAGTCCAGGTGAATTCAACAGCCCATGAGGTTTGGAATGGCCTCGGCGTGGTTCTGCAGGCTCAGGGCAATGACGACGCAGCCACAGAATGTTTCCTGACAGCGCTGGAGCTCGAAGCCAGCAGTCCCGTTGTCCCTTTTACCATCATCCCCCGGGTCCTCTGAAAGGCTTGCCTGGCAAACCAATGATTCATCGTGCTTCCGCTGATTGTGAGAATGTTAGGAAGCATTAGGCGTAAAGCTGTCCTCCAGACTCCAAGGGGCAGATCTTCAGGCTGAGAGGTCACGCAGCCAAGCAGGCAAAGCTGTTCATTACTGCGGGGATTCTGACATATGGAAGCTACAGCGTGTTAAATGTTCGCATGAAGAAAAGTGACTAACCAAAAGGAGGGGGGGGGAATACACACAGCAAACCACCACTTGTTTCTCGCCTACACCTTTGCCCCCGTCGTAGTTTTAAGACCCGATGCTATTGTTCAAATGGGTATTGTGCCATATTTTGTTAGGTGACATCTGAGTGTTATGTAAAACTCTAAATAGAATTGAACACCAAATGTTGGAATAATAGAATTCAAGTTAAAATTCAGTGGCACAGCAGCCTATTTTTAGCCAAGCCTGTCAAAGACCTGTTCTCTTCTTGTCGCTGAACCTCTCTGGGCCCAAAATTTAAAAAAAAAAATGTGAAGTTTGCCGTTTCCATCTCTACCGTAGTCCAGGCCAGCAAATGAACTGAAAGGTTTATGTTTTTAGTTGTTTATAACTGTGACGTGTAGCTAGTTATTGCCTTTATTTAGAAGAAAGATGTGAACAAGAATATTTATATTTTACCAATGTATGCCTGTTTAAAAGAAAAGAAAATATTAGTTATTTAAGTTTAACTTTTTTATGTGAATTCAGAGTTTATTTATCAATGGAAATATGTAAAAAGATGCTTCAGATGGAATATTTACCGACATTCCTTATGCATTATACACCCACTTGGCTCAATGAGAAGATTATGTTAATAATAAAATGATTTTTGAATTGATATGGTGCCTGCATGCTCTTTTAATAGGTGGATGGGGGCCTTGGCCTCTATGCCCTGTTGTTGGCCATCCAGAGGAACTGGTTGGCCATTGTGTGATACAGGATATTGGAGTAGATGGACTCCTGGTCTGAACCTGCAGGGCTCTTCTTATGTTCTTAGAATGCCTTCCAGCCTCTTCCAAAAATTGAAGTTCACAGTAAGAATTCCTGATGGGTATTTTCCCCTCCACAGTTTCTATCACTAGTAATCTGTAATATTTGGAGAAGGCAGTACGTATATTTCTCTCATGCTTTGGGGGCAGCAATCACTGATATCGATGAGAATATTCATACCATCAATTTGGCCATGTCTCTTTGCAGTATGATCCACCCTGGGAAAAGCGGCTAGACAAAATAACTGTCGTAATAGGTGATTTAACTACCCACACATTGATTGGGTCTGTTATAAAATAATCAAAATGTATTTAAAATACTCAGAGTATCAATGGATCTTGCGCTATTGGAAAGAGATTTCTTTGCATTTAAAAACCTTTATTTCTAAGGGTAAAAGGTATACAGGATACCTACAAAATAACAAACTCCTAAGAGCTACATTTCTAAGCTGCTTACAGTTCAAATCATAGTTATACACTACACACAGATAATGGAGAATCTGTCCTTCTCGACCCCTAGAAAGGAAGTCACCTGAAAACAAACAACCAATCTGTATCACAACTTTTCCCAGGCTAATCCCCCCATTGGCTCTGTGCCAGGTTTCCCTTCCAGGTCAGTCTAACTAATAGCAATACTAGGTAAACAAGTTAACCCTATAATGACTGCATTGTCAGACCTTGTAAACACACCATTTCCAACAGGGTTAATATATGTTCAGGTCGTAGCAATGACTGTGCTACGGAGCAGATGGTCACAGAACCTACCAGGGGAGGGGCAATCCTGGATTTGGTCCTAAGTAATGCCCAAGAGCTGGTGAGAGATATAAAAGTGACTGTACCGCTTGGAAACAGTGACCATAATGTTATTGAGTTCAACATTTGTATAAATAGGGAGTTGCCCAAAAAGACCGACACAACCATTTTTAACTTTAAAAGGGGTAACTTCTCTGAAATGAGGGGACATGTGAGGAGGAAACTGAAAAATAGAAAGGGTGAAAAACATTGGGGAAGCTTGAAGACTACAGTCCTCGAAGCTCAGATAAAATATATACCACAGGTTAGGGAAATATGTATAGAAACAGGCCTGCATGGTTAACAAATAAAGTAATGGAAGCTGTGAAAGGTAAGAAGGATTCCTTTAAGCAGTAGAAAGCTAGTCTCAGATTGATAAAAGGGAACATAGGCTGTGGGAAATAAATTGCAAGCCTGTGATCAAGCAGACAAAAAGGGAATATGAGGAGCATATTGCAAAAAACATAAAGAACAGGGCTATTTTTGGGCAGGAACGCACAGGAACAGAGTTCCGGCTGGCTTCCGAGTTGGCCACACCCACTACAGCCAAAACCTCTGCATGTATGGCTACAGAGGGAAGGCCTGGAGAGCAACCCCCCTGGTGAATCTGAGGCGGGCAGGCTATGGGGGGCCCTGGAAGCCAGTTTGGTGTAGTGGTTAAGTGCACGGACTCTAATCTGGGAGAACCGGGTTTAATTCCCCACTCCTCCACTTGCACCTGGCTGGATGACCTTGGGCAAGCTGTAGTTCTGATAAGAGCTGTTCTTGAAAAAGAGCAGTTTCTGTCAGAGCTCTCTCAGCCCCATCTACCTCACAGGGTGTCTGTTGTGGGGAGGGGAAGGGAAAGGAGTTTGTAAGCCACTCTGAGACACCTTTGGGTAGTGAAGGGCAGGGTATAAATCCAATCTCCTCTTCTTCTTCTGCTGGAAGGATCGGGGAGGCATTAAAATGCTTCCCCGGCCTGTCCAAGGGCCGGCTTGCCTAGGCTCCCCGCAGCGGCCCAGGCAAGCCAAGGGAAGGCATGGGGTTGTGGCCTAATATGCTAATGCGCTGTGCTGTCAGGGGTGTGGCCTAATATGCTATTGAGTTTCCTGCTGTTGGGTGTGGCCTATTATGCTAATGAGTGCCTGCTGACTGCTGAACTTTTTCTAGGAAAAAAGCCCTGATAAAGACCAACAGGAAACCAGCCAGGGAAGCAGTGGGGCCCTTGGAAGACCAAGGGGTAAAAGGAGTACTGAAGGATGATAGGGAAATGGCTAAGAAGCTGAATGCATTTTTTTTCCCTCTGTCTTCATTGTGAAAGAGGAGAAGTGCTTGCCTGCTCCAGAACCGCTGATTTCGGGAGGGGTGTTGAAAAACCTGAGTCAGATTGAGGTGATGAAAGAGAAGGTCCAACAACTGATAGGCAACTTTTTATTTTCAAGTTCAAAACCTTTATTGGCATAGATCATAATCATACAGTCGCCATTCAGTTAATGGATTTGACACACAGCTTCCTCATTATAAGGCAGTTACAGAACTTGGCAACCGCTTCAATAACCACTATATTTTGTGAAGCCAATAAATGGATAGGCAACTTAAAAACTGATAAATCACCAGGCCCAGATGGCATACATCTGAGAGTTCTGAAAGAACTCAAATGTGAACTTGTGGATCTCCTGACAAAAATATGTAATCTTTCCTTAAAATCTGCCTCCGTTCCTGAGGACTGGAAAGTAGCTAATCTCACCCCCATCTTTAAAAAGGGTTCCAGAGGAGATCTGGGAAATTACAGGCCAGTCAGTCCGATGTCAATACTGGGTAAATTGGTGGACACCATTATTAAGGAAAGAATTATTAGGCACATTGATGAACAAAAACTATTGAGACAGACTCAGCATGGGTTCTGTAAGGGAAGATCTTGTCTCCCTAACCTGTTAGTGTTCTTTGAGGGGGCGAACAAACATGTGGATAGGGGGGACCCAATAGATGTTGTTTACTTTGACTTCCAGAAAGCTTTTGATAAAGTTCCTCATCAAAGGCTCCTAAGTAAGGTCAATAGTTATAGGATAAAAGGACAAGTCCTCTTGTGGATCAAAAACTGGCTAATAAATAGCAAATAGAGTGAGTATAAATGGGTAATTTTCACAGTGGAGGGTGGTAAGCAGTGGGGTACCGCAGGACTCAGTACTGGGTCCAGTGCTTTTAACTTGTTCATTAATTATTTGGAGTTGGAAGTAAGCAGTAAAGGGGCTAAATTTGCAGATGACACTAAATTGTTCAGGGTGGTGAAAACCAGGGAGGATTGTGAGGCACTCCAAGGGGATCTGTCGAGGATGGGCAAGTGGGCATCAACATGGCAAATGGGGTTCAATATGGCCAAGTGCAAAGTGATGCACATTGGGGCCAAAAATCCTAACTATAAATACACGATGGGGTCCGAACTGGCAGAGACTGACCAAGAGAGAGATCTTGGAGTCATAGTAGATAACTCAATGAAATTGTTGAGACAGTGTGCAACAGCAGTAAAAAAGGCCAACACTGTGCTGGCGATTATTAGGAAGGAAATTGAAAATAAATCAGCCAGTATCATAATGCCCCTGTATAGATCAATGGTGCAACCATTATATCTACTACTGTGGCCAGGACTCTCGTAGAAAAAATAGTGTGGCCTTTATAGTCAACAAGAGAGTGCAAAAGTCAACCCTGACTGTTCCCTGGAAGGCCAGATAATGAAACTGAAGCTCAAATACTTTGGCCACCAAATGAGAAGGGAGCACTCACTGGAGAAGACCCTGATGCTGGGAAAGATGGAAGGTCAAAGAAGATGGGGACGGCAAAGGATGAGATGGTTAGACAGTGTCATAGATGCAACGAACATGAAATTGAGCAAACTTCAGAGGACGGCGGAAGACAGGAGGGCCTGGCGAGATCTTGTCCATGGGGTCGCGAAGAGTCGGACTCAACTGT